TCTAGAAAATTTGCAAGTCAATTAGAAATAGAATAAGATAAAGATCAGATAATTAGATATGTTTACTCTAGGTAGTGAAGCAAGTGCATCCTGCATTGAGTCTACTCTAATACCCCAAACATTATGACACGTTTTTCAAGTCTGCCAGGTGGCATCTACTGCGGAAGGAAGAACTTAATTAACTAGATACAATAACAATACAAATATTTAGAAAATTGTTTTCCAGAGACACCATCCAACATTCTATATGGTCTAAGAGAGGCGATCAATTCAAGAGATAAGAATATAGTGGGTAGTTAAAAGATTACTTTCTTATCAGATTTGAGCTCAAATATCCATCAATATAATCATTTCAATTATACAAAGCAAGTCCAACCAACCTACATGTACTTGATTTAACATTTCCCTCTTCTCCAATTCAATTCGTTTTAGGCTGATTGCTTATATTGATATTCTCGATTCGATCAAATTGGCAAGGTTTGGTAAGCAATCTACATCAACAGATTGAAGTCAATAAGCAAAACAAATTTGATCAACGCTGCAATGATACCAACGTTTCTTTCTCGAGCTTAAACAAAGTAGAAAAAGTGAATAGGAAATTGATAGAGTTGCCGTCCACAAATTGACGCGAAATACATCTAGTTAGATAATTGATTTTCTAATGGCAGATCATTGATGAAGCTCTTGACTTCAATCAAATGAATACATACTTATACAAACATCCGATTACCGTTATTTTCATTCTATCAATCTCCTCTATATAACAAATCAATGAGAGAACCTTCCTAACCATTTACCATATCTAAATGGATAAAATGACACTGAAAGCTCAACGGAATTGATGGTGTTTTAAGCCATATTCTCAAATCACTACCATCTTAACTGACTTTAAGTATCTAGACTCACAAAGGACACCAAGTGGAATTTTCTTATGCGATCAATTCATCAATTGAAACAAATTCAGTGTAATCTTGTCTAAGTATTTTGACTTACAAATTTTCTCAGAGATTATCCATTACACTGGCGTATATTGATTTGAAATCTCCAGGGTTAAGGCAAGTGGAATATCTAACATCAGTATTTATTAGTATGGGGTTAAGTTAGTTAAACCTTATCTATCACTTTAGCTTTCACTATTATCTTGACTTTTACACCACTATTTAGTTTAATCTTGGCTTAAAGTGTGACTCAATGAATATATTTCAATGTCATTACCTAAATAATAGTAATCAATGTTTTGACTTTTTTTCTTTTTCTCATGACTTCTGTAGAAAATAAACAAATCATCTTGATTGACAATTAGGAACCATAAGGTTATTACCAACCACTAGAACAGCTCAATGCCATTTACAGTAGGCTTGTTTTCCCCTTCCCCAAAGGAAATAGGCTAGCAAGGCTTTGCTCGCCCCACCCCCACGTTCAAATTTTGTTAGTACTGTACATTGTGAAAGAGATCCTCTTTAACACTTAGTGCTCCCCCATCGGCCCCTTAACCTAATGAAACCTAGGAACAACACTGAAGGCCCAATGGGAACTTTTGGCCATCTTAATGTTCATCATACTATATTCAAACAGTAATCAAAATTTATACTCTGTACTGAATGAGAATCAGAAGCAATTGTTTATTTATTCTGTGTATGTGATTCTAAACAGATCCTAACAGAACCAACTGTTAATAGTTGGGGTCAATTTATCCAAATTTAAATGTGCACCGAAGTTACAGGTGGTGCACCAGTACTATCATCAGCATCTGAAAAACAAGTTAATGTAAAGAACAGTGCATTTTACAACTTTACTAGTTCATCAAGATTAAAATAATAACTTGGATTGTCAAAGCACCAAATCTAACTTTCGTAAAGAATTGACTTCATTATATATTATTAGACTAATGAAAACAAGCAGTGCTATGCAGTGTGCAATGAGGGAAATTTAATCAGATTGGGCTTTAATGTATTGGCATTTCCAATGAGCATTACTGAAGGGGATAAACCAGGTTAAAAAATCGCGATTATTATCACGATCTCATCTTATATACTATTATCAAAGCCAATTCTCCCAATTAAGCAAAATTTATAAACTGATACCATAGCTTCCTTTCATTAGAGAAAGTCTCATGATCAATTCCTCATCTGTTTGTAGGCACCAAAATAAGATCTCATGATTTCAATAACATTTAAAAATTTAACCATGTTGACTAAAACATTGGCAAGTTGAAACACAAAAATTTCAAACAGATCACTGCCAAAAATCGAAAACACATCAAAACTGATTTCAAATTTACTTTTCTAGTATTTCAAAAACAATATATTTCATTAGCTGTCAACTTTTTCAGTGTAAGAATGTATCTAAAATGTCTTAATGCCACGTTTGACAAAATTATCTTTTTCTCCCAAATTGATGGAAAGATATTTGATTTTTAAATGAAATTGGTTTCAACAACAGCTTGCAGTTTATACACAATGTAGATGCCAAATTTCAAGTCAAACTATCAGATACAAAGTTTCTAGTGAAATTAATTCTGGCAACACTTTATGAAAACATAAAAACCAGTTTGTGGGGTTGTTTCCCTGATGTTTATATACTTTGTTTGAAAAAACTAACTGGCAGTATGCCGACTTAAATGGTTGGTTTGATTCAAGCCCCGCAGGTGTCTTTGAATTGACATGGCCAACTTGTATGTTTTCAACCTCACTGATTGGAGAGCAAGTTATGTAAATAATAACAATAACACACACTAGTTGATGACCATAGATACGAACATGATATGTTTTTAGTACTTCTGGTATGTTTGTTAGTACCAGCAGTAAAAAAAAACTAAGCTGAGGTCTGCTGTTGTCATTAGTTACTATGAAGGTAAAGTATATTACTAGCTAATCAACTACCGGTACAACAAGTGTTAATATGTAAATAATATTAACTAAACGTTAACATTGACTTTGTGTATGTATTATGTGGGTGTTCTAAAGCACACAAGTGTACTGTTACACCATCAAAGCCAGCATTGTAACTCTTTCATCAAAGGGAAACGTTCTTTTCATTTTTTTCCTTGTGAAAATAACATTAGCTTTAATGAATATTTAAGCTGTCCAAATTGAGACTTGTACCAATGTTGTCAAATTCATATGTTGCTGTGAGACACTCCTATAGTAAATTCAGGAAAAATGTCAAAAATGCAAATGTATAGTTATATATTCATGCATAGGCATATGAGAAAGCAGACAAGTAGTGCCTTTGCAGACTTGCACCTTTGGTGGTGGGAGTGGTGCTTCGCCTGACATATAACCCTTCAAAATTTTCGTGAAAATCAACTGAATAATAACCACCAATCCACTATGAGCTACCATGACTTATGTACCTCCAGGAGAAAAAGCTTGCCATAGGAACATGACCTTGGAATTATCTTCAAAGTGCCAATTGTCTACACCTGTTGCTACACAACCTGTCTGCTCTCTTATATATTATACTTCTGTCAATTTCAATTACTAACATATATTACAACAAATGATCTATTTATTTAACTAATGAATTAACTCCCTTTACAAGCCTTGGTAACCATGAAATAGAATTTGAAAAACTGACAAGTGACTGTTAGCATTTCATCTCATTTAGACATTTTTTTAAACTCGTCAGTTTAAACAACAGATGGATTTCTCACACAGAAGTCATTTTTTGTATCCAGGTCAAATGTTCTTTCTTATATTGGCAGACGTCTATGTTTCAGCTATGTGAACATAAAACTGATCTTAGCAGAAGATGTATCACTTGGTCTAAAATTTCAGTCTTTTACATCATCCAATAGCCAACGTAAGCAAATAATGATAAACATACAATAGTAGGTGTTCCCTCACCAGCGTTACAAACTTACAAAAGAACAAACTGTAGCAATGCCGTTCGTTCCAGATATTTGTTGCTTTAACATACTTTGGCACATAATTCTGAAAACTGGTTCAAATTTACTTTGAAAATTTCTTCAATTGAAAATTAGAGGGAAATTTAAACTTGAATTAAAGGTTTTAATTGAAGTTACACAACCAACAGAAACTTTGAGATAGAAATTTCATCTGCATTCCTTTCCACATTGCTGCGCCAGATTTTGTTCATATACCCATTCTTAATTTGTTATAAAGAAGGAAAATATTTACACGATTCTTGGTCTGATCACATTTGGCTGTTTATTCACATATGGCTACTTGAATTGCACAAAGGTAAATCTTCAAGCTCAATTCTGACAGTTAAAAAACCCTGGCATTTAAACAAACGCGAAAGACAATGAGCAGACGCACTTCTAAAATATCAGCTGAAATCAAATTTAGAAGCTAAGACAACACTTCAAAGAAAATATTTTCTCTTTTTATCAGCTATATCATTCTAAGACAGTGTTTTTCTTGTAACATTTTGTGTGTATTCAAACATGGTTTTAAGAGGTTTAACAACGGCAATTACTGACCAAATGTCTAGATTATAAGAAACCCAAACTCATCTACACACAGAAGTTATTGAAGATTTCTAATCATGAAGTCTTAAGGTCAAAAGAGGCAGAATGGATGGTTTATCTTCAACTAGAGATCAATGAAACCAGAGCAAATCTTTCAACCACCCAAAACAAGTATGTAGATGTAGAGAATCACATCTCAAGTGATGGATTCCACCTGGTCTAACATTCCCCATACCAGTCACCTGTAGAAATTTGTAGCCAACTGAAGGAAATAGCCCAAAGTCTAAAAATAGTACTAACAATCTAATCGGTGAAAGTTTCTTCTAGCCGACTTCTAATAGTTTGTTTATCATCAACAAGGAGATTGGAAGAGAGACACAAATGATTTCTGCCAGAGAAAACAAATGGCCGCTTGGCAAGACAGTAACACAATTACCCCTTTCAAAGATAATCTTAATGTGTTCTGATATAAGAAAGACATTGGTAATTATTTGAACAAGAGGCTGGTTTGTCTCACTATCAATAAATAAGTTTAAGTGTAAATCGGTACTTGATCGGTACTTACATGCTATCTCCACTAGACCACGATTACTTTCTCTACTTTGAGGATCACTTTCGCCTGGTACTGTGTTCCATGCATAGCAGACACACCCATATCCATCATTGCCATAGTATTCTTCCACTTCTTCTCTGAAGACTTTAATGGAGGACTGAAGAGTTTTGATATCTGTGACTGGATCGCTCAAGACTAAATTTTCTTGAAGTTTTGCAGGAACTTTCTGACCAGCACATTCAAAGGTGATAAGAATGGCGGGTGTTGCTTCACATTTTATGATGACTGGTTTGTTTTTGACCATATAATAATTGTTTTTAGGTTCTTCACTAAATACGGGATAACCTTGGGCTAGCGGATTGCTGCTACCAACCACTGAAGCTACACGATTACCTGAAAAATAGAATGGGAATTCATTAATTTGAATCAGAATAATATTTCTGAAATGGATGCTGTTGACATACCTAGATGTGCTTCTACATAAAATACTTAGTTATGTCCATTAATTCATTTACTTATATGTACATGTTCTTTAAATAAAATGATGCTAATTGCATAGAATACAAGTAAAAACTGGACAATCGAAATAAATGCCCAAAAAAAACCTACTAAAATACATGCGAGTCCAATATCAAATCTGAAATAGTAAGCTCCAAAAGACCATTTGTTGGTAACCAAAACCATGTCAGTAAAATGTTTGTAAAATGCTTGAAACATATATTTCAGCTGTCTCCAAATAAAAACCAAATGTTTAATGTCTGAGGGAGTATGTCACTGTGGATTTTGAAAGGAATCTGCCTAATTCATCAACTGACATGGCTTGAAGAGGCTGAAAGTGCCAATTAGGTCTTCTCGAGTAAACTAACTGCCTAATCCAGTAAATCGCTGTGTTTATAGACAGATTTCATGTGGACTTTAAATAGCTTAATCTTTTACTGAGACATGAAAAGTCTGGAGTATTTACTCTGTAAGTTATTGGTACATATATATATATATACTCCTTTAGTTTCTTGATACATTTCACCTTAAAGGTATTTTATTTAATTTCACTTTGGAATGGCCACAGAAGTTTAGTGTTTGAGTTTCGAATGTTCACATTTTGCAGGGCAGCAAATTTCATTCTCTATTCCTTTAGTTATGTGTATGCAACTCTATGATGCATTTAGCTGACCCTTTGAATAAAACATGAGATTATGACAATATTCAAAGATACTGGGTATTCAAACTGGGTTTTCAAAGATACTGGGTATTCAAAGATACTGGGTATTCAAAGATATTTAAAGATATTCAAAGATATTTAAAGATATTCAAAGATATTTAAAGATATTCAAAGATATTCAAAGATACTGGATATTCAAAGATATTTAAAGATACTGGGTATTCAAAGATACTGGGTATTCAAAGATACTGGGTATTACTATCTAGAAGACACATATAACAGAAACAATAACTTTCTAGAAACACAAGTAACATGCATGTTTGTACGCATATTTGTGGGGAATTTTGTAAATAGAAGTCTTTTTAGAAAGAGTATTTGTGAAAGTGTTCATACTAAAATCAAGAGAAAAACCAGAATCAAGAATTTCAAACAAGTCTACCTTTCGCGCAGGTAGTAATAATAATCAAAATCCAGGTGGAAATGTGCTGATTATCAGAAAAAATGCCGTGTTTATTGCCTTATGTCATCGTGGGATCGTTTTCACCTTGTTGCCTGCATATTTATGATGGTTGAGAATCCAGAATGTAAACCTACTAAATGTTATGTACTTTATGTTACTACAATATGTAAGACAATTTGATGGTTATATCATAAGATTTGCTTTTCTACTTCAGATTTCACCTATTTTTTTCAAAGGTGAGAAAAATAAATTTCCCACCTCTTTGTTTTAAGTGTTATAATTTAAAAAACAGAAATTACTATAATAAAGGCCTACTTAGATGGTGTACAGATTTTTGCTCTGATTTATTTATCACTTGTTACTATGAAACTTAATCCATGTATTTCACCAATACATTTACAGTTAGTGCAAGTCACTGACTATGAATTTGAACAGCAGTGCAGGTATCTTATGTTTAATACAGATTCTAGCTAGAACCTTGATTCCCAACCTTTTTCAGCCTTCACACCCCTGGAGTCATCACCTGGACCTTTCACACCCCCAAAATCTGTTTCATCCACTCACTCTCTCAACTCAAAATAAATTCTTCTCCTACACCAATTGGCCACACCCCTGACACCCTAGTCCCACACCCCCAGGGGGTGAAAACACCCCAAGTTGGGAACCAGGGATCTAGAAACTAATTTGCAAAATATGATTTTAAAAAGTATGATTCAAAATAAAAAAAATTTCAGAGCATTTCTCAAAATTGATAGTCTCATGCTTCAGAATAGCAGAAGGCTACGCTGATATAATTATCAGCAAACAGATCTTTAGTGCTGGAGGTTGTTAAGTGCCAACATATCTCAAAAGCACTGGTTATGGCCTCAAAAATTTGCGCTGTCTGAAAGCAAATCCTGATCTGATGTAAAGAATGGTAGTCCAGACAATACATTGTTACAGCCATCACATAGTTAATCAAAGCCACTCTTTTTATCAGTTGAGTTATAAAGGTGTAAAAGGGCCTTAAGAAAAAGGTGTGTTTTTTACATATTAGGTGTAATATATTATGTGTATATAAACTGATGTAATAAGCTGGTCCATCCATCATTAAGATAAATATACACCATACTATACCATTTATTATATTATATCATTAACATAATATACTGGTATATAAGTTAATATATGTATATATCTTATTATCACTTAAACACAGTCCCTTCACAAAAAATTCTGAACAAAATTCTGAGAGATCCATTCTTCAATTGCAATGGTGCATTGCCATTTACAAAGGATTTTTAGGGTTTTGATACAGTAAACAATATATTTACTTTTATGAATCCTCAAAGAGTTCATAAGGGATAAGTTCATATCTAGTTTTAGGCTCCACTCAAAGCTTAAAATGGAAGATTGCAGTACTGGTATATACTTTTCTTGTCTCCAAACCTGAAGAGTTCACAATGCCTACAACAGACTGTATGTATCTGCTCTTCTGTCAGACGACAACTTGTTTATTTTCTTCACATTCCAGAAAATTGAGACTTAGTGAGAACTTTCACAATATTTATTTCTTTATGATTTACGATACCATTTCATCTAACAACCCATTTTTCTTGCCTACAGCCAGTAGGTATTTGATAAGAATTAATTTACGAGTCATACTGCTGTAAGGATAAGGTTGAAATTTTAACAGGGAGATAATTAGCGAGTTTAATTGTAAGCTTTTATCATATCTTTTGACATTTTTCTTGAAAGATTTAAACGCTTTGTTCAACCAATTGGAGAAAAATTGCTTTAATGTCAGCATTTGAATTCTCTCGATGCGAAAAACTTGAAACATTTCTCTTGCACGCCTTTTTCGCTCTAGTCTGAAATGGCACTTTTGACAGTTTGCTTAAGCTACCTAACGCCAAAAATTCAATTTACAGACCTGACACACAGTTATACCTGAACTATCTCAAGTTTGTAGCATTTTCCCTTTAAACCATGGGGAGGTAAAGAAAATACTATCAAGACAGATTAATTGCACCTTATCACATCAACAATACAATAATTTCTCCCTAATACAATAATATCCCCCTATCAAGTTGCAGACGGTATGTTTGTATATCACTGTAAAGATAAGTATACCACAGTAAGTTGCTATGTAAAGAAGAATGCAAGATGAAATATACTACCCCCTGCAGTGGCGGGTCAGTTGAACTAAGATGACCAGCACTGTGGTCAGTTGAACTAAAAGATGTATGGTCAGTTAATATTATGGAAATAGAATAGGAGGTTAAATGATCATCTAGCTACCTACAGACCACCTCATAAATCAATTTAACTACATATACTTAAAGTCTTAACTATCAGTACCTACTTCTTTAACTCTCGTAAAAATCTTTGGGCCAGTAATCTTAAATCTTTTTTTACTTCACTATCTTAACACATGGTGTTAGAAACATTGTTTCTACATATCTCACAATAAGATTTAAGATTTGAGTAAAGCAGTTTGAGACTTCAAAATACATGTGAAACTACCTTCAAACTAGTTCTGCATTGATCCGATTCAGGGATCACCTCCAAAACCCTTTCAGAGAGCTCTTGAACCCTTTCAGAGAGCTATACAACCCTTTTAGAGTGCATACAACTCTACAGCATACAACTCTACAACCCTTTCAGAGAGCTCTACAACTCTACAGTATATAACTCTACAACCCTTTCAGAGCTCTACAACTCTACAGTATACAACTCTATAACCCTTTCAGAGAGCTCTACAACTCTACAGTATATAACTCTACAACCCTTTCAGAGCTCTACAACTCTACAGTATACAACTCTATAACCCTTTCAGAGAGCTCTACAACTCTACAGTATATAACTCTACAACCCTTTCAGAGCTCTACAACTCTACAGTATACAACTCTATAACCCTTTCAGAGAGCTCTACAACTCTACAGTATACAACTCTACAACAGCTTCAGAGAGCATGCAACTAATAATGTTCATTTCTTTTTTCAAATCAAAGAATACAAACCCCTTCAAGTTCGTTTTTACATATCCGAAATCAAGGTGAACTTGAAAGAATACAGAAGCAATGATTGACATTAGTGTTCTATAATTAGCAGTTGTAAAGTAGACCATATTTATAAACACTTGACCCAATGATTTGTTGATTGAAGAGGAACTACTTAGTCTATACAAGACAACTTGACAAGAACTAATAATGTTCAACTGATTGGCCTTAGGGATTGTTTGGCAAATACATGTTTTTTTCTTATATTATAGACACTTGCTGCATACAAATGACTTGTTGATGAAGACTATTTCAGTCGGAAAGACTGGAAAAGTTCAACAACCTTTGAAATGAGAAATACTTTCAGACTGGCTAAGCCATCATAACCTTATGCCAATACCAGTTTATAAAAAATTGTGGTATTTTTTGCAATTTGGCTTTTGCAACGATCCAGTTGTCATCATGCAACTTCTGAAAAGCTTCAAGTTTACTTGTTAGTCATGTTTAGTCAAGTTTTAAACTTATTGACTTTGGTCACAGTAAGAATTATGGTTATGAATTATTTAGTAAGTTATGATGTCTTGGATAATGAAATCAAGTCACAAGAGAGCTAAGAACAAAGTCTTCAAAAATAATGAGTTATTAATGCAATATAATTTTATACTAACATATTATACATTCCACTGAAGATAAAGTTGTTTTGAATGTGAAGTTATCATTAAATATATGCAATAAAAGGTA